GTTAAAATAGTGAAAATTCAAGCCAGGAACTTCTGTTAATCAGACAGTGGCATAAAAACCGTTTTGATGATGTGCGCCAAATCCATTGATGACATACATATATACATTTTAAAGTTATCTCCCACTTAGATCTAAAATGAAATGGACAGAATTTAAAGTTTAAAGTGGATTTCAAGTGATTTGTGTATTGTACATATTTAGATATGAGATGTATGTAAATAGAAATGCATCCTGCTCTTTTGTACAATCTTACAACTGTTCATGATGATTGTCCATATATAAATTGATTTTATAGAATAAATGAAAACATATATTTTACAATATAGTGTGATGTTTGTTTTAAGTATAATGTACTAATTGAGAGATACATGTTTATATGATATTCTGTCCAAGTTGTATTTTTAGTATATACATTTTGAAAAAAAACTACTTCCCCTGATATTTTATTTTTGAGGACACCAACATTCCATGTAAATAGGCAATATTTCTGTTACATGTAGTATTCTTATTGAAGCTGAATGAAGCATATATAATTCTTAATTGCATTTTCATGAATACTCTAAAAATAGATTTTTTAGATCACTTGAAAAAGAATATCAAACACTTATTGATGACTGGTAAAATTTTCACTGATGTGCCAAGATTAATGAATGGTAATTACAAAAATAGTAATACCGGTGTGTCCTGATTCATTTAATTCTTAATATTTTGAATATAAATAAAAACATTTCGTTATTTGGATTTAATTCATTTAAAACTTCAATTGGAAAATTCCATATTTATAAATCTGCAATAAGAAACTGAATGTGAGGGTAACACATTGTTATGTAGGGTATTTTAGACTGAAGTAAATCATTTAAATACACAGAAAAATAAGCTTGTAGTATTTTAAGTGCCTGGGGAACACATTTTTTGACATTTTAAAATTATGTTCACTATCTATAGGATTTTTAAACCAGTACAGGGAATGAAAATGACTCCACCATCAGCATGAATTCATTAGGCCGAAATCAAAAATACTCTTGTTTCCTTTCACCCGTCCTACCCTACATTTTACCCTCCGACCCTAAAAGTTTTTATTACATTTTCATTTTTTGGGTTACTATTTTACTAAAGTTGACCAACAATATTTACAGAACTAATACATCGTAAGTGTACAGGATACCTTTACTTTATAAATCTTTTTTAACTAACTTTCTTGTTATTACATACTATATGTTCTGGCAGTTCTGCATTCATTGAGTTTTGAAAATAAAATTTTTTCCCAAAATAAAATTTTTTCCCTACCTACCTACCCTAATTTTTTTGGTCAGGGGACAGGAAACAAGAGTATATTTTCTTTTGGCCTTATAGCATGTTCGTTATAACCATGTTTTACTGTGTAGATATTTCTTCCCTTACATCATGATACTAGAAGTGTAATAAATACATTTTCCTAATTGTTTAAGCCAGTAGTTTAAATCATCCAATATTTATATATGCTCTAGTGTACCATAGATTAAGAGTTTGCTGCTAGCCAGATAATTCTTTTCATCTTGATGATATACATGTGAAATTAAAACTGTTAAGGGACTTCGACCCTCAGCCAGGAAGGACAACTCTTTAATCTAATTCAAAAAGTCTTTAAATGAAGCTCGAAAATTAAATCTTTTCATGCAACAGTTGTCATTATATGCCTCTCAATGTGTTTCAAGGTTATTTGAACTTCTCAGAAAGGTCTAATTAAAAGTAGAAATTTTTAGATACCAATGTTTATTAACATGATATGAAATTAGAATTGATTTATGGAGCTTTGCAAAGAACCTTGAAGCACATTGAGAGGCATATAATGAAATTTGTTGCATGAAAATATTTAATTTTCAAGCTTCATCTGAAGACTTTTTGAATTAAATTATAAATTAAAGAGTTGTCCTTCCTGGCTGAGGGTCGGAGTCCCTTAAGTACCGTACAAAACAAATTTCACAATTTTGAAAATGAAAACTTAACATGAAATTTACATTAACATTTTCTATCCATTTTTCTGTTCTGTCTTAATTAAGCGCCTTGGTAAAATGTTCATTTTCTGAAAAATTAACAAAATCCTAAATCATCTTTACCAAATTTTTCTTCTACCACTCCTTAGAAGCTAATAGTGCTGTATTAGGGCACAATATATTTGAGGTAGGAGACAAAATGAAGATTATTTTATGTTTGTTGTAGAACAACAAAGTACACATGTAAAATTTTAACTTCATGGAAACAATAAAAACAAAATTTCCAGTGTCTAAAAATTACAATTTATTTATAGTCAATGCCAAGTTAACCAATGAAATTATAATATAAATGAAATTACAAAGTGTCCCATAACATCTTTTAGAATTTTATGAAATTGTGTAATCATGGAATTATTAGATTAATAGTTTTACAATACAGTGTATGTCCCATATTCACTCTTTTTCACTTGTATTATATTATGTCAATAAAGTCAAAAAATAAATAAATAGAATCATGGTGTTCACCTGAACAAATGAAGTTTTTTTTCTTTATCACCAATAGTTTCTTTCAACAAATTCACTTTCTAGAATTTTTTTATTCTGTAAGTTATAAATCCACCATTACATCATACTGTTCATGTCCTCTACTGTCCCTGTCCTCTACTTTTAGGAATGAAGAACACTTGTCTTTTTTAAAAAGCAGAATTTTGTTTGAATCATCAGTCTCCGACATCACTGCATGTAGATTGTCCGGTCCTTTGAATGAAACCATATAAACCGAGTTCCAGTGTCGCAGTTCATGTAGGTGTTGGTACGAAAAAGATCTCTCACTTTTCAAAGGCTTTAGTGCTGAGTACAGGTTAAAATATGCAGCCCTTCACCGGAACGTGTTGGCGTCTTCATATGTATGAATTAGATCTAGATTCTTAAAGTTATGTGCAGTGATGAAGCAACAAAACTGTGGACTGTTCATAGCACTCCATTTCTATAAAAGTACAAAGAAGACAAGATTTATTTATTGATGATTGATCACCTTAATATCATACCGGTAATTATTTTTTTTTAATCTCCAACAATTTTAATTTGGGAAAAACACAAATAATTATTTATAGCATATATAATTATATAGACTTCCTATTGATTAAAGTTTGTGTATTTAATTGAATTGAGATCTTATTTGCAAGGGTATAAATGGATTCAAGTACATTTAAAAAATAAATTCTACATACAGGACATACTAGTTGCAGATCTGTAGCTCTCCGAAAAAAAAATATATTGATAGACCGGAGAGATACAGTGCCACCCATTGAAAAAACTGTATATTTATTGCGCACAAAAAAGTGCGCTTGGTTCTCAAATTATTTCTCCATGTTTTTAAAACTGTAATCTCAACATATTACTAACCATGTGTTCCTAACATATTCTTTCGCTGTTTCCACAACCAAACATTCCTCATAATTGTTGTTAATAATCCTCCTGCACCTGATATTGTAGTCATCGAACATTTTGCTTATTTATACTGCCATTTTGGTTTCAAAGATAATTCGGTCCAATATGCTTCGTTAAGATGTCAACTACGAGAGTACTTGATTGAGGATAAAGGAATTTTTAAAAATCTTTGCAATTGAGGTAAGAATTTGGAAGAATTAATCAAGAACCGAGCACACTTTTTATGCGCAATAAATATACAGTTTTTTCAATGGGTGGCACTGTAGCTCTCCAGTCTATCAATATATTTTTTTTTCGGAGAGCTACAGATCTGCAGCTTAGGACATACAAACTACTTTGTATACACAATTTTCCACTATGAATTAAGATGCTATTCATCAAACAAGGAAAAGAATATGTAGTGAAAAGTTTTAAAATAAATGTTTGCATATTTTCAAGCACAGATCCTCTCTCCTATATATCATAATTATTTTAGCTATTTCAAAATGATTTTTTGTAGATACACAAATTCATTTTTCTGCACAAGTTTTTATAAAGATTAGAACTTTCGCATTAAAAAAATATTTACACCAGATTCATTAACATAAAATCAACTATTGCATTGGATTAATTATTACGTTTTGTTCATTACACCTCAGTCTATGATTAATTGCTTGCAGATAATCTCGTCAAAGGCACTGCGACTTTTATTTCTGACTTCCGTAAATTTAGAGGAAATTCGGATTGAAAAACTTCGTAGCATGTGTATGCCCATAAAACCCAACGGAATTTTGTAGTAATTAGTCATACTCACAATATCATAATTTTATTGTATTGTTTAACTGATTTTTCATGTGCATGCCTAACTACTTACCCCTTTATCACCGATCTCAATCAGCAATCCGTGGCGTGGCCTCACCAGTAGACTCCATAACGTTTCCGTTTGGTGATCAGCTGATTCAGATTTGAAAATATCACGGGGTTATTGCTATTGAATTAATTTAATAATAATCTTAGGATTATATTGGCCAATTTGTCTGCAAGAAATACATTCTTTGTATTTTATTTCCGACTGAAATAGGAATGTCTATTTTGCGGTTTCGTTTTGTGAAAATCAGATCTGTAGTTTTAGTAAACCAGGATAATCCTGATTTTAAGTAGGTCAATGCTGGTTTTAAAATAGGTCAATGCTAGTTCTATCCTTTGCTTGCTGATGCTGATCCAAGTAATGCTGTTTTTTTAAATGCTGATGCTGATGCTAGCTCTATCCTGATCCTACTTATGCTGATCCTGATGCTGGTTTATGTATCAAAATTAGTTCCCTGCACTGTATGTAAAGGGTTTGATGACCAAGACTCATTTTCATTGTTTACTTTATTTATTTCCCGGGCAACAATTGATGGTTACATCAATTCTTTGTTTTAATCACATATTACATGAATTGTATATGATTTTATGCCATTTTCTCGTCTACATTCTTTTTTTTTTTTTAAATATTTTTGTTTGCTTTTTATATACTTTATTTTCCCTTTCTTTATATTTAATTACATGTATGTTTTTTTTCTTAACCCAATCTTGGTCTTTGTATAATTGGATTTTAGGTTTCCTTAGAGCGCTTTATACTATAGAGCCTCCATAGTTTAAGTATCAAATTAAAACGAAAGTAGGAATTTCCCAGCCAGAATAAAATGGCGTCTTGTGATCTCGATGATATGGAAGTCGAATTTCATGGACTGCAAGCGGAACCAACAGAATGTGAAAGTCAAGATACTAAAATTTCGCCTTATCAAGTCATAAATCAAGATGGTGGTTATGTCTTTAAGACAACCCTTGAAATGCAGCTTTGTAGTTTCATTTGTACTGGTTCATCTAGCAGGAATTATAGGACAAGGAGTAGAGAGATACGATTAGAGGACGTAGCTTTCGTTTCTCAGTAAGTAGATGATTTTTACTGTCTTCTTTGCTTTTTCTTGTTCTCTCTCTCTCAATATTATCTAAAAGAATAATAGATAAATAAACTAGTTAATTGGAAACTATAGATAAACAGAAATAGAGTAAAAACTTAGAAAATTCTAAATAATACTTGCAAAAGCTTTTTTAACATCAGTCCTGTTTTCATCACACTTTTTAATGATATATAATAATCCCTTTTGCAGATTAATAAAAAATGGACTGGGGGAGAGGGTTGTTGAACTTCTTCTTCATTTCCGGCCACGCGCATTCAGACAAGACCCATTACTTTTTGTATTGGCGATGTGCTGTAGATCCAGTGACACGGCTACAAAAAGAGCTGGATATATTGCACTTCCGTCAATTTGTCGAATACCAACACATCTTTTTAAATTTCTTGATTTTTGTCAAAAAATAAATCAGGGGAATTTTCAATCTAAAGGTTGGGGTAGAGCACATCGGAAAGCAATCTGTGATTGGTATCATAGTTATGGAACTTCAGAAACCAAGTTAAAACTTTTGGCACTTCACATAACAAAATACCCCAAAAGACATGGATGGCGACACAAAGCCGTTATGCGCCTGGCCCATCTCAAAGTCAAAGATGATGAAGATCCAGCCTTGAAGTATCTGGTCATTCTTGCAATGAAAGGGAAAGAATATGCAGATTCTACCCCATTTATGGAGAATCAAAAAAATCGAGATTCTTATCAGACGTCAATTCTGAAAAATATAAGCAACCTTCTATCTTCGATAGAAATGGCCAAACGTACAAAGGATGTCGCTCAAGTTAAGAAGCTTATCTTGAAGCACAGATTAGTGAGGGAACATATTCCAACCTGCTTTTTAAACGACAGAGAAGTTTGGTTAGCACTTGCAAGACACATGCCAATTCTTGCATTGATTCGAAATTTAGGGAAAATGTCTAAGCTTAAAATTTTTGAAAGAGGCACATCAGAGGAGAAGCCATCCTTTGAAGAATACTTGGCACTTGAGAAACTGAAGAACGAGGAAATAATCACTAAAGAAAAGGTACATCCTTTTACCTACATGCTAGCAATCAACCAGTATAAAAAAGGTGAAAACAGATCAAAATCGTTACAATGGCCAGTTTATCCACAGATTTGCTCTGCACTTAAAGAGGGATTGTATTTATCTTTTAGAAATATCAAGCCTACAAATAAACGTTTTTTGGTGGCATTGGACATTAGTAGATCGATAGAAGAAAGTGTTACCGTCGCGGGATCACCATCTTTACAAGCACTAGATGTTGCTGCATTTATGCTGTCACTTACAATTAGAACAGAAGAAAATTACCATGCAATAGTTTTCTCGAACAACAGAGCAACAGCTTTGCCCATCAGGCCCGATGATGATATCGATGGGATAGCTAATAAAATAAAAGAAATGAGAAGTCCAACGGGTGAATTTGTTGCTGATGCTGCTTTGCCATTCAAGTACGCAATTGAAAATAAAAAAAAGTGCGATGTTTTCATCATTTACACAGATTCTTTTGCTACTTTCGGAACCCCACATCCGGGACAAGCATTTAAATTCTATCGACAATCTTCAAACAGTCCTGATGCAAAACTGATTGTCTGTAATTTGGCCTGTTCTGATGTCTCTATCGGAGACATTGAAGATCAACACACTTTAACAGTGTGTGGATTTGATTCTTATGTTCCACATATCATATCTAATTTTCTTAACAACGTATTTTAATTTCTCAGAGTGCTTTTAAGAAGTAAATAAGTTTAATGGTGAATGTTTTTGTAAATTTAGACATATTTTAAATATCTAAAGAGTGTAGTTACAAGTGTTCTTTACATATTCTTTAACTTTAACTGTGAAAGTCATATCTCATGCCTTAAATATTGCTAATTTTACAATTACCTGAGTGCATTAATAAATCAGAAGCTTAAATACTAGGAAAAGCGTCATATATAATAAGTCCTAGTGAAACTGTTTTTCAAGACTTCTTAAGACTCTCTTTACTGTGTAATGTATATGAAGGTGCTTCTTATTTTTTAACGATATTGACATAAAATTTGTATATATTCTAGAAACTTTCAATAAATCAGGATCGAGATTCCGTAATTCTCGACAAAATCGAAAACACAGAGTCGTTAAAGTGACGAGCATATGGTTTAATGTTAATGCAAACAATTTTATGGCTGAAAATTGTATTTAATACACGTCTTTTATAAGAATTTTATTGCTTTGTCTAGGCCACGATATGCTATTCGTCCTAAAGGATTATTTGTAGTTTGAATTTTTTTCCAAATAAATTGATAAAAATTTCTTTGAACAATGTGCAGATTTTCAGCAGATTAAATTTTCTGTTCATAGACGTTGTATATGGAGCTCGCTATCAATAAAAGATTTCATCATTTGTCTTCACTTTTTCATGTATTAATGTTACTTTGAAACACATCGTTATATATAATGATAGGTGTTGCAAGATGCTTTAGGCTGGAAATGTATGAATATATAAGTACATATAATTTCAAGCACAGTGAGATTTGTAATTCATTACTATTTTAAAATCTTAAGTTAACTCTTTTTGGGCATTTTTTATTAATTAGCATTTTTTTCTCAAGAAACATGTGTTTAATAACTATTATCAAAATTATTATTCAATTATTGTTTTCGGTGAAATGTCGGATTTCAAAATCTGTGTTATTCCTTTCATTAAGGAAAACATGGCTGAAATATGGCCGACTCGGCGTTAAGCAGTAATAATCAATCAATCAATGAGGAAAATGCATTTATCTTTTTAAATATTGACCGATTATTACTTTAAACCAACTATTATTCGCGACATCTTTTATTCGCAATTCGTCCGTTTAAAACCAATCCGCGACGATTAATTTCCGCGCGCAGGGAAACATTTTCTACAAATCCTTAGCAAAATTAATGGTTCGCGGCAATTAATATTCGCGAGACAAAGGAGGTCGCGGATATTTCTCGCACGCGAATAAAAGTTGGTTTACAGTAAAAGAAAACACTGTCTACCAGTTACAGTTACAAAAAGTACCCGGGGAAATTATTGTTGAAAGTATCACAAAATGAATGTAATTTATTACCTGAGTTTGTATACTTTTACAATTGTTAGTAAAAAGAGATACACGTTTAAACTGCATGCATTGCCTTTTACATTAAATGACTAGCATTATCTATTGTAAAGGATTGGCATTTTTGGTAGATTGGCCCCTCTTGTTATTTGGGAGTCATGTTGTTACATATCACTTATAATATCTGTAAACAGTGACACTCATGCCGATATTCACGATGTAAATAACTCAGCTTTGTATAAATAAAGAGGAAATTTTTACAGCATTTATTTGATATTGTCTCTCGTTGATCATCTTGTAAATGTTCATGGAATAAAAAGGTTTAAAAATGACAGCATTTTTGTAATATTAACTGACCAAATGTGTTGAATAAATTAATGTGAAAGCCCCTTTCCCTACATTTTTTTACTTTTATAATTAAAAAAAAAAGATTAAAAAACCACCGTTACATGTACAAAAAATTGCAAATACTTGATCTTGATGTTACATAAATGTCAATAATAATTTCCACCTCCTCATTTATGTTATATCTCCGATACTTTTTCCCACTGCTGGGATCAATAAGGAATTAAAGTAATTTTGAGTGATTTGTAATCCAAATGGGATATCTTGAACTTTTCTCTCATATCAGTTTCTTTTTGGTTGGTACTGTAGAAACAAATGTATTTCTAATTTTTAAGTCAAGTATTTGGGGTATATATGAAATTTGTATTGTTTTGTTTTCCACTATTAAAATAAAACCTATTAAACAAGTCCAGGTGTAAAAAAAATGTCAAATATCAATTTTAAAAATATTAAATTTGTATGTATGTACAGAAATCTTTGATGATTGATGTGATCTCTTTAATACATTCACTACAAGTATATATCTTTTATATTTACTACATGTAGCAAAGGATAATAAGAACGTAGAGCTAAGTGTGTAATTGTATTTACTGTTCTTCTGAGTTATTTCTCCTGTCTTGTAGAGCAGTTTAAACATCTAACGATTGTAAAAAAAAAATATAGGTCATCTTTTGCTTATCAGGTATTGTGTGTAAAAATGAGAATGAAAAAAAAAGAATGTAAATACTCAGATCTTTATAAGGTTAGTAAAAATGTGGAATACAGAAAATATTCAAAGAATTACAGAGCAGTAGAAGAAAAAATGACAAAAATATGCGTACATTTCAATTCACAAATTTTAATATTAAGGTGTTTCATTTATTTTAAATTATTTTAATTTAAAAAAAATAAATAGTGAAAATTTCTTTCATAGATTTTACGGCATAATAAGAAATGTAAATGAGAATAACATTGAATTTACCAACAAAAAAAATCTCTAATAACCATTTGCATACCTAATGTGACTCCAAATTGAGAGGTGATGAAACAGTAACTACATGTCTACATGCTTTAACCCCGTTTTAAGCTTTCATCAGATAAAAGTCTTTCTTACTCTTATACTGGTTAATCCTGTATTTATGAGTCTTAAGATATAGTGCCTTCAAAGTGTAGTCTCCATTTTTTACCAAACTCGGAAAACAGTTAAAATGAACCATGCTGCAAAATGAAACGATTAAAAATGAACCAATAAAAACACGCAGAATAAGATCACTACATGTTAAAAATATGAAGGGGGATTTTCAATTAAGAAATAATTTTATATACGGTGTTAATATTTTATTTAACATAAGCAGTTTTTCAATTAATTTGCTTTGAAAATAGATACAAAGCCAACATCTATTGAAATGACTTATTTGACTACCACCATCTTTCCCATTCCATATATCAGATTAAAGTAGAGACTTTTTGCTTTCATTTCTTACAATTTTTTAAATAATTTTTTTAGAATAATTTTATCACTATAAGAGGAACTCAATCAAGTAACTGTCATTATAGTACATTATAATTCAGAATAATTTAATTCTGGTTGTAACGCTGTATTTGATTGGATAAAAAATTATTTTATATTGTATTAAATGGGTTGCCTACGTCACAATGACTTGCGTCAAAAACGTATTAATCCGCCTGACGTTACATTCAAAGTTTGTACAAATTGAAGTCATTTTGTTGGAACAATCCTCTTTTTTCTTACATAAAATGAATGAAAATTAAATTATAAGCAATGAATTTAATAGCTACCCATTTTATACGGTATAAACTGGGTTGGAACAGTTTACGCTTTTTTATAAACCGCTTCGCGGTTTATAAAGCGTAAACTGCCCCAACCCAGTTAATACCATATAAAATGGGTAGCTATTAAATTAATTCCTTAAATGTATATATCATTTTGAAAAATAGTATATCTTTTTGTATAACAAAAAGTTATAAGCTGAACAGAATTTCCTCGAGATTAGTTCGGTGAAATATTTGGCTTTAAAAAAGTAAAGTTTCAAAGAGAGGTCTTAGCAATTTCCTCTGTCAATCTGTAGAAAAATTGCAAATACATTTTACTCAGACACTTACTCATACATATTTTTCCATAATATGGGTATTCACACGTTTTTCACAAAATCGTGTCCTATACATCATCGTTACAAGCAAAAACCGTGTAAATTTCATAATCGATTTTACAATCAGTAAATAAAAATTTCAAAAAATTAAATGAATGTTATTAATATGATGTCAACATATCAAGATTACAGTGTATATAGATTAAACGAACACATTTAACAATTCATGTAACTTTCATTCCTTACATTCTCTTTGAAGTTCTAGCAAAAGCATAATCATCCTCGCAAGCGAGTCAACAAGTAGACGTTAAACACATGACATATTTTATTAAATATTCGTGGCTAACTGTAGCGACCTCTTTGAGAAAAAAAATGCAAAACTTAATTGTTTTTCTTATCTCAAAATCAGTGACATTAAGCTAAATGTTGTCTACGATAAAAACTTCTAACACGTGCATTTGAGGTGACATCTGAATGGTTTCTTTTTCATATATATTTTTGAAAGCTTTTTTTTTTAATTTATTGCTGCTTCTAAATGAGAAAAGCAAGCACAAAGATTTCGAGTGAAATATGGTGGGGGTGTAACCACAACGTACGTGTTGAATCTATACATTTGGTATGCGAGGATGAAACATAAAGCGAAAAGAATAGAAATGTGTTTCTTTTCTTAATTAATGTCAGACGCATTAAAAGTATCGTTGTATCTATGAAAAGGAGGGATGGAAAAATTGTGTGGAAAAATAATTTACATTTCAAAATATTTTTAACACAAAAATTGGAGATCTCTCAAACTCCAATACTCATTATTATTATCGATATTATTATCATTATTATTGGAGAAAGGTTGGAGTTCAATGAACTGTTTATATAAAACTAAAATAAAACTGAATTTCACAAGAAATATATTGGAAAGGGGCGGACAACCCCTTTTCCGCACCCTTTCATAAAATTCATGTTGGATTCCAGCAAATCAAAGACTATAGATTTAATCATAAAATGTTTTATTACAATAGCAAAATCAAAACGTTGAAGGTTGCTACATTTGTACAAAACACAGCAAAGAAACAATTTGAAAAAAGTTAAAATGGAAACAAATACTGTTTTCGTAGTAAAAAAAAAAGAAGAATATAGATAGATTAAAGAAATCTATTTACTGATAGATTTCTCGGTATATCAAATCAAGAAAACGAATGCGCTCACAAGGTATTAAATGACTGATAAGAAACGCTTAGTCATCTTCCCCACCTCACCCCACCTCTGATGTTTCTAGACTCTTTTTCTCTACCATCAATGTGTATTGTTATATTTTACTCACAAGGGTATACCTATTGAACAGTTTTTTTTTCTTCATGCCATCAATTAAATTCTGTTTCTTCAATTTCTTCTGCAATGTTATATACCGATCTATCGCCGTCTGTTTCAGAGCTTAGTATGTGCCTGTTGTCGTTAATTTCTTCCGATTGATCGTAATAGCTGTCCAGATTTTCATTGGTGGCAATTTCTCCCTCGTTTTCAGACTGAAGTTTAATTGAATAAGTTTTTAATGACTTTTCGTAGGTTATTGTCACATTTGAAACACCGGAAAATATATTAGTTGAATGCAATCGCTGATACGTATAACTTGATTCCGATTGATTGACTGAGCTCTGATAAAGACAGGCACTTGTGTTAGTTGTGTTTGATTTGTGCTTTTTATACTTTCTAACAATCATCAATATCAGTAAAATTGTACAAAAAACAAGGAAGGATGTACATATACCAATTAGAATTAAAGTAGGGACGTGAATGTTATTACTGTCGTTGTTTGAAACTGATTCAAAAATATCCATACTTGTGGATTTGAAAGAAATATTGTCCTCTGTAGCTATCATCCCATTCGTGGTGGTCATTGAAACGGTTTCTGTGAAATAGTAGAAGAGAATATTTGTTAAAACAAAATATAGGGGGGATTTAAACTAAAAATGCAACCTAAATGGTGGTTCACAAAAACTGATAAACTAATATTTTCGAACACTAAGGAATATCTTTTAAAAAGTACATTTTTTTTAAATTTCATGTATTTGTCTTTATGCTTTATATAGTACTAGATGGTAGTACACATTTACCAGAGAAATGATGTGAACATCAAAATGAAACATTGCATTTGGATTCTGTGCAGAAACATTTCTTAAGACAAAATGGTCCATAATATGGATATTCACAGGGCATCTCACAGTGTAAACCGAAATATCCTGGTCTACATTCTGTTCAAATATTCATCTCAGAAAAATACAAAGTTGGTTACAGAGCGATATGAAAAGTCGCTAATTAAGATATTTACATAATATTAATGAATTATTAATATTTAAGAAATTCAAATGGAGAAAATTATTTTAAAAAGATTTTTTTCACCTGTGCATTTCTTAAGAGAGGCGTTCCAAGAAGTTCCACGACAACAGCCATAGGGTCTTAAACAAAATATAGGATAAGGTTGAAAATTTATTCATTGCATAAAGTTAGCTTTTACATGCGAAAACTCAAAACAGAATCAAATTAATAGCAATAAAAGAAAGATAATAAATTTTTTTAAAATAATTAAAACTATCCAAATAAAAAAGCTTATCATGAACACAATACAAAAGACACAAATAAACAAAAGTGACTGAAAGTAGACTCAGAACAAAAAAAAAACGCAAGATAAAATTGCCCCAGAACTATAAATTAAAACAAAATATTTTCAAATACAATTATCTAATATAAATTAAAAATACCTTCCGTTACAGGGGCCAATCTTTGGGATCCTTTCAGTTGACATAATGATGGAAATAGCTTCTGTGTTCAAAGAATTATAATCAAAAATGAAATTTAAATTCTAAATTGCTAAATAAGTCACTAATTTCATCTGAATGATATTTACACTTCCGTGGCAAAACCAATTACTTTTTAATTATAACAGGATATGGCCGCTTTGATGAACTTCATTACAATAAGTAATATACATTATATATAGTTTATATCTTTTAATCCTGACACCAATTCCATCTACATGTACGAGCATATATACGTGTAAACTTGAAATACAGTGTGTTATACTGTACTAGTGCTTAAAGAAATTCCTATTCCAGTGTTAGAGTTTAAAATGTACAATATAAACACTTGCATAGAGATACAATATTTTATTCCACTAACTGTTCAGGAGATCTCATTGTGATACCACTTAACCAGATGTTATGAATATAAATAAACAATACTGAATTTTAAACAGACCTGTAGGCTTACGTGTGTCAACAAACACAATTAGCAGGGGAACCAGTTAAAACAAAACTTTGAATACCCAAAATCAAGCATGAACAACTGTTCAAAAGTTGGAATATGTAAGTATTTAACTTAATCTCATGTCTTTCATATCAAAAAATATATATTACATATAGCATTTGATAAAAAGACTACGCAATAAAAATAAATTATTTATATATATCTTACCACTTTCGTTTTGCCGTATAAAAATAGCATGGCGTTAATCAATACAACAATCAAAATAAATACGTTTTTGAAAATGCATATTCGGAGAAAAACATGATTCAACATTTGATTACAATGAGAATAAATACTTTCGTTATTTTTTTTTCTATTTTGTCAAATTCAAAAGCATCTCTTGCAAAGCCTTTCATAGTACTTTCTGTCAAGGCACATTCCCTATTTCTGAAAAAGTAAAATGTATTATAATATTATGACCATTTGATCTTCTAAACAAACCCCTGCGTTAAAGATTTAACTATTTAACATTGTGGTACATGTACTCTTGACAGATAACCATGACGACTGTTGCGAAAGCTCAACATAAGATGTATTTGTCCCTATGCATCATTGTTTCAGTCTTCTTACCCATAATTTACTCCGGAAGCCTATATGTATGTATATACTTAAGTGAAAAGCTTACATTTCAAGCAAGAGCAATGAGTTAACTAGCTATTGAAAATTAATGTAATGATTAATAGAAGATGCCAACAGCTTGTCTAGCAACATGTCCCACGATTAAAACAGTGAAATCCTGTCCAGTCAACAAAGAAGAGAAGGAGGAAAGAGAAAGATTATTAGCCTGTGAAAAAATAAACCAGAATTGTACTGAAGCTGCTAAATTCAAGTATCACTGCCTTATGAACGAAAGGGGGGAACTTGTTGAACTTTGTGCACCTATGGTCTGCATCTTAGGTAAAATACATGTATTTTGAAAATAAGAAAAGAATTAGTCTCGATTTTACATTAGTTGTGCAATAAAGTTCAAGTTTCAATTGTGAAATGGAATCGTACTTTACTAATCCTTTCCTGTAAAGAAAAAGATTGAAAGAAAATGCTAAACTACAATAATTGTCAAGTGATACATTTCACAACAATCAAGATACAAAATACAGTAAACAATGAATATTGTTTTAAATTTGTTTCTTTTCCATTGCTTTATAAGGGAGAGTATGTGCAGAGTTCAACCTTGGGGGAGGTCTTATTCAGGAACTCCATACAAAGAATTGTAAAAATTGCCCATTCCTGTATGATTCGTCTACATTGTTCGAATGTAAGATCTTTTGACTATTAGTGATGATTTCATTGAGAAGGATTGACATTAATGGTCTTACTTTGCATTCAATAGATCAAGAGTGTTTTCCTCATTCAACATATACGAAGAGAAAATATTCAAAGGAAAAAACGCATAAGTAAGTGTACCTTTATATGTATCTTTCAGGGTTTAATTAGTGCAAGCCAAATATTCTTCAATTAAGTGCATGAAGCATTTCACATACATGTAAGAATGCTACAAATAGGTCATTTTGAATGTATTTAACGACTTAGAAATTCTATTACCTCTCTTTTTACTAACCAAAACAATGATACAATTACGTCACATCTCTTAATGTTCATAATTTTAGGAGCAATCCTGGTGGCACATACTCCATTTTGTTAGTGTTTGGGATTCTTGGCCTGGTGTTTTTATGTTCCTTTTCCGTATTTCTCTATTGTTCAAAAGCTTCTAACATGAAACCATCTAAGGTAATGAAATAAAACACAATAACATGTACCTGTTCATAAATATCTATATACAATTATCAAAAAAAAGAAATAGTATACATGGTTTTCCAAAAATAATTTTAAAAAATAGAACCCCTTGAAAATTGTTCTAAATAAAATGCTTTTTATTTATTACAGGACAGTTCAATTGAAGAAGCCTTATGTGATTGAATGAGACTTCTGATCATCAATATCAATACATCAAATAGAGACAGTAATGAACAAATGTGGAATCGTAGTATGTGGTTCCTGCGTATTTTCATCGTCATTTTCTTGAATTCAACATATTGCATGTTTTTTTTCCATTAATTAAGTATTATAAATCACTATTGTCATAAAGCATTGATGAACATTTTTCTACAGGCTGTTTTTAAATAGTTTGATGCATAAATTTTTCTGTATTATGGACATATTTCTCTATATAAATATTTCCTTTCTGTTTATTATGATTTGGAAATATATCGTCATCCAACAAATGTAAATGATATGAATGTTTCAAATTTCATTTATTTTGTAGAGTTAATTTCTATTCAGATATCTGGGAATTAATTGCTATGATATATTTCTTTTAATGCTTACGTGAGGATAACTAATTGATCACTTGTTTTATGCAAACATTATCTCATACACTTAACAAATCTTCTAAGGGTTCACTCTAATAAAATATTTTTAAGCTCTGAATGACCGTCACTTATTACTTGACTGAATAAGTAGATGTAGATCTGCGGTGCATTAATCAGTAGCTATAAAGTGTATGATTTTAAGTGTAGATTATGTATGACAAGAAATTTACGCTAGAGTAGCGACAGCATATATCTAAGAAATCGTTTGAACGAAAGACATTAAATTATGATTTCTGAAATGTATATGTGATGTAACAGAGAAAGAAAAGTAAACGATATTGTTGAAATGCGAAAAAAAAATCTCCGGCTGATTTAACATTAAAATGACGTAGCGATGATACTTCAGGTCGATAGACATATGCATGATTATAATTTCGCTTCAACTTGTCTAATTATCCTTAAAAAATTTAATTTTCTCATCTTTTTTTATGTTCTAAAAAATGTTGACGAATTTTCATGCATTTATTAAAACATTTAATAATCGAGTAAAAGTAATATTCTCAACAATATTGAAAATACATGCTGTTACACCTACAAAATAATATTCAAATAAATGTTAAATTCAAGTTGGTGAATAATCAGTTGTGTATACTAAACAAAATAATTATTGTGGCATTGAGGATTAGGTACACACAAAGCAAAGGATAAATTATGATATACGAGGGCTGTTCGGAAATTATTGAGACACTGTTTATATTTTTCTTTCTTCTAATGAACGTTTTTTGGTGAAAATTCGCAAATAATTTTGACAAACACCAAGAATTATAAAAGCTGAAAATATATCAGAAATATTTAAATTTGTATCTTCAATGGTCTATAAATATGCCAATGGTAGGGGTACCATCCCAGTCACGAAATAAGATATTTAAAATATGAAACAACAAAGTTCAAATGTACGGTGGACCGATAATGAGGGTGAAAACAATTCAATTTTGGTTTATAATATTTCAGTTTTATTGTGACTACATGTTGTGCAAGTTTGTCAGAATTCTGATACTGATCAGAAAAACTGAGATCGTTTAATAAATTATGTTCCGTTAAGAATTCCGATAACGGCGAAAAAATGGAATTTGATGAGTAGGCGGAGCAGCGAGAGACTATAAATTTGGTGCATCTCTATTTAACGACGTTTGATCCTGATATTTAAAGTCTTAAACTTTTTTTGTCAAGTATATTTTTATTTTCTAAACACGTAGCTTATTTAAAAATCAAATCAAAATATGTGGGTCAATATGTTCTTTTGGCGCTACAGTGCATTAAATATGACCTTTTTGCACTGAAATTTATGTCTTTATAAAAAATTACATCTTCAACGTTTTCCCTCTAATATTCTTATCCAAATAAAGCATGGAACAAGATAAACTATACGTCTTTTTTTATAAAGACACTTTAAAATTGTGACTAAGAAAAAGTTGATATGCATAATCAACTATTTGACCTTCCTGGACTCACAAAATGTGATTTTTCTGGCATTAAAAATTTGATAAGCAAGAAAAAATTTTCAAAGTCTTAAACTTTTGCTGAATTTAAGCTGATAGGTCAAAGTTATCTTTAATATTCAGTAAATAACATCAAAAGTGGGGGTATATGATGTTAATTTTTAGATATTACGAAAAAATTGTCAATTTTCTATAAAAATTGTCACAATTTTTTTCCTGGACTTTCAGAATATATTTACTTCATTTGTCATAATTCATCGAAACAAGGGAACTCTATTTGACCCCCTCCCCCTGCACGATTTAAAAGATTTAATAAATCATTTTTTGTGTATGGCGATGGGTCTCTACCCCGACCTCAAACTGCCCCCCTCCCCTAGCCTTTACAAGATCCCACCTCTGCTTATGACTATGTTTATTTAAAGGGATGTCATATCTATATATATATATATATGTACTATTCTTACCACACATTGTAAGCTAGACAATAAATAAAAACTTAAACATTAAACATTGTATAATAAATTTACACAGGATTCCCGAACACACTGGGATGCGTAGATGGAACATTCATTAGAATTATGGCTCCAACTGAAAATGAACCGGATTTTGTGAAAAGAAAGGGATTCCATTCTTTGAATGTACAGGTCAGTATTATATTTCTTCTTTATTTTCTTTGTTGTTTTATCTCAGATCAAATGCTTCCAATGTTGAAGTTATAGATTATTTAATCAAAACATCAGTGATATGAGCGTCGCATTTGAAAGGGGCAGCCAATGAAAAAATCTATTCCCCTGAAAAAAGGACTTGATAAGCAGAATTTTATTTTAAAAGTCGTTTGAACTCCTAATTACTAAATCATATTTAGCTGACTATACTGCAACAAAAAGTTGCCTCCCACACCCCTTCTGATGCTACGAGACTACATATCAATATTATTTTTATTTAAATTCTTTAACTTTGCAGCATTATATGCAATTTATCAGCCATCTTAAAAAGTTAGGGCTTCATTTTGATTTCAAATAGATGGTTTGTGATGCCAACTTCCAATTCACGAGTGTGTGTGCCAGCTGGCCCGGTAGTGTCCATGATAGCAGGATTTGGCGGGAATCCTTCCTTTGTCGACAATTCGAAAGAGGTAAACAACTTTATTTATATTTTACTAAAAAATATTGATACATTTGTTTATCGATGGAGAAGAGAAATAAATTTTAAATGTTGAAGGTTATTATTCTAGAAATTCAATTAAGAAACTCTTGTACGTTTAGGTGAACACAATGGCATTTTGTTGGGCGATTCTGGATACCCCTGTCCACGCAATTTAATGACACCATACCTCAACCCGCAGACAAACGCTCACCAACGATTTAATGCATCTCTGTGTCGAACCAGAGTTCTTATTGAGCAAAGTTTTGGAATTCTGAAACGGAGGTTTTCCTGTCTTCAAGGAACTCTGAGGTAAAGAAGCTTTGCATTATTTAGATGAAATACATGCAACTTCTAAAAAAACATATTTTGCTATATTCAGTAAATAATACCCTCTATAATTTTTTAACAGATAAACCGTCTAAATGTTTCATATTGGCTCCAACTAAAAATACTGACAGCCATCTCTTGGGGACTATCACAATCAAAATACATCTAATTAACTTAAAATTCAAATCTAATTTGATTTTTTTTACAGAACGGCCCCTGAACAGGCAGTAGCATACGTTGTCGCTTGCGTCATCCTTCATAATGGGATTCGAACTGGTGATGTGATAGATAGATTGGACCAGCAAGAGGATGCATTTGACCCGACGTCCCACCAAGTTGTGTGCAATTCTCCAGAGGGAAGTCACTTGCGAGACTATATCGCACAGACGTATTTCGGGTAGAGCTACATGTAGGTATGCACATATTCATAAACACTTGCATATTTTTGAATTCATAATGCCGAAGACCACACAACTTACATGTATGTATACAACTATACATTGATTCAATCAATGACAATTATTTATATAACATTTTTTGTCTATTTCAGGTCATTTTCAAGTGGTTGACGGTTTATAGTGACATATGTTTCAGAATTTCATTTGATATACTGAAGTACATACGTTTATTTATAGTTTAAAAAATAAATATTTCACATTTACTGATCCCAATTCAAGAGTTTGTGATCTATTCAGAGCCTCTCAAAAGTAGTAAGTCATTGACAAACAGGGTTTATGATGAATTCTGGAAATTCAGAACTTAATTTACACAATAAATATGATTTTTTAATCTCAAGCATTTCAATCTCCGTTTGCAATTTTTTCTCCTCTAAGGCTAATTTCTTTTGTTCTTGAACAAGCTTGTTTATTTGTTGTGTCAGCTTCTCATTTTCAAGTTTACTATTTTTTATCTCTAGATCATCCAAGATCTCTCGTGGTACCATCTTCCTCTTCTTTTCCTTAGGTCGTACATCTTTCAAAAAAAATATAAATGCAAATATATACACTGTACTTGCGTATGTACCATCTTGTCAAAGATTAATGTTAATATATTTTTAAAATGATAGGTATCTTACCTGAATTTGTACTAAATGATAAACTTAAACCGGAGCTCTTCGAGGATGTTGAAGCATCACCGGTTCATTCAACAACTGCTGCTAACGCTTGTGTTTGGACAGATGTTATTGGTTCTATAATTACAATGTACATGTATATTAAATGTTTAAAGGTTTCCGTGGTCCCAAAATATGACATTTTTTTAATCTTAACTCTACTAGAGAAGGAGAATTTTACTCTGGCAAAGTTCTACCTCTGAAATAAGTGACATTGTTTAAATTACCATCGGTATCAATGCTTCCCACCAGGCCAACAATGTTGGGTCGAGTATCCATTGCCTGGTACAATGCCTCCTCTGCCTGAGTGAGGGGCGCTGATGGTGGACCTCCCCCAGTCTTGGGCCTGCGTATGTCATAAATTTTCTCTTTTGCTACAATTGATGGCGATTTGAAACATTTCTCATTGAAAAATATTTCCCAAAAATACTTTGCTCAACTCTAAAAAAAAAAAAGTAATAACATTTTACCTCTCTGTTTGATGTTGTCATACTTTTTGTAGATGGAGTCAGATGTTCTGTCGTTTTTAAATTGTCTGTATAAATGAAATTAAAAACAAAACATTGATAAATTCTAATTTGTGTTTGACAAATTTGACATCTCATTTTAAAAGTGTAACATTTTCTTTTAAATATAATAGTGGATAATCACATAGAATATACTTAAACATAATTATATTTTGTTTATTAAAATAGTTATATTTTTGTTTTGTTTGTTAAAAAAAAAATTTTTGTAGTCATTTATATTTGTTTTCTTGTATCCTATTTTTAAAAAAATCTGTAGGATGGTCAAATTATTTCCCCCCATTTGGGACTTGATTTTTTTATTTTAAAATGAATTTCTTTAATCTCCAATATTATTAATGTCTGAAGCCGCGGTCTGAAGTGGTTTGTACCTATATTTGAGCCCCCACCCGCTTTCGTCGTTTATGACCAAATGGTATATAATACACGACATAACGATGTAACCAACATATGTGATGCTGTTTAAGATGAGATTTTATTAAATTAACAGAGGAATTATGATTAACTGTGGGCATTTACAGTTACGACAGAAAACATTGTCCGTATTAATTTAGGACTGGAATATACTGGGATAAAATTTGTGTTTACACCTAGAAAGGGAGATCACAGCGAGAATCGTCTGGTCATGGTCAAAACAAAAAGTAAGTGAATTCAGATTGATATAACAGTACTAACAAATTCAGTGTGTCAGTGATGGACCTCCAAGTTTCTTCTTTTACCTTTCCATGTTTCCCTTTAACCCCCGCCCCTTTCATCTTTCCAAATAGTTGTTGTTCGAATTTTAAAACCTCTTCAATTAAAGTTATCTCCTCCTCGCTGGTCCAATGAGCCACCCGTTTCCTTTTACCCCCTGATATCAGCCCAAGTATGTCTTTCTCAGCCATTTTCATACAAAATAACACACAGACGACAGATATTTATTGCGTAAAATCATTACGTAAAAATTCCGCGAAAGTGCGCGATGTTATAGATAGTTTTCGATTGACCAAGAGTTACTTCCCGTTGGCCGCCATACTGGAGGTCCAAATGCTCATATTCCTTCATTGTTCAACCAATTAAAATTTTTATATTTGCTATTTTGAATTAGAAATCATTATTTTTCTGAAGTATATAAATTTTTGGAAGCCTCCTTTATTTAAAAAAAATTATTTGATAAAGATTTTCCACCAAATATTTCTGCTATATTTTCTTAAACTTGGTAAGACAATGAGGGAAAATCACTGAGTCGACCTCCAATATGGCGGCCAACGGGAGGTAACTTTCGCTAAATTCAGGCCTATCGAAAACTATCTATTGATGTAACACCTCAACTGAGTTGAGGAAAAAAAAATCACCTCTATTGAGGTGATACTCAGTCTGTTTGGTGACAGTGAATTGAGGAAATCCTCAGTTAGGGAAACCTCAAGGGGTTTGAGTTGAGTATTGAGGGTGAGGTTGAGGAATTTTGGTGACGGCGGGGCCTGGACATTCCGTCATCAAGAAAATATAGTTTTACTCTAGACTATTCCGAGTAACCAAAACGTTTGTGTGTGTGTCGGTGTGTGAGCTTTACAACCTGTCTTTGTTTTCTGTGAATTGATTTGATTTATTTTTTCAAAATACAAACTTTAACTTTTTATTGCTTGACTTTCGTTTAATGAATTTTCATCACAAGTTCACATGTGATACTTTAACCAAATATATTCTATTAAAATAATGATTCCATCTTCTTTGTTAACCTTAAATTGCTTGAAATATTGTGTAAAATCCAGAATGAAAATAATGTCTTGAATGTTACAGTGTTGAAATTATTAAGTGTCGGAAATGCAATGCAAAATTAAATGCAGCAAAAAATGGTACCTCCCATTACCCAAAGAAACTAATACATGTAGTACATGCTCGATTGAACACTCTAATCGGTACAAGTTTTAGAAATCAAAACGTTTATATATAGGAAAGTTTAGTGACGCATACTAATCTTTTTTTTCATTTATTTGACTACCTGCGAATAAAAAAAAATGTCACGTATGACTATTGGTTAACATTATAATAGGATATGGATTAATCATGGATTTCAACACCAGTCCTGACATGTACGTACCTGAACAAACAAACCAATTGACATTTTCGACTCTGAAGGAAAACATATCATTTGAGGGAAGGGGGTTACGTATCGCGATGAGAGGAAATTTGTTAATCTCTTTTAGTCCAATAAACACGAAAGAATGGCTTGGAATATTTGTATGCAACTACAATGCATTTGTTAAAAAATGTCTAATTATTCATTTTTTTTCCATCGTATTCTGAAAGCTCGGAATATATATATTTTGGGGGCTCCTCCGTGTAAAACAGCATGTACTTAGTTACAATCATGTACCCGTAATATCGTGTCAAAGTGATATTCTTTTAATTCGAGGAAATAAAAGAAATACATTGAATTGAACATATTTTATTGACAATTAAAGTCAAAAGGATAAGACACATGTTCTACACAACTTAGATAGTCTTCTCCTTATACAAAATTTTATAATATTGCCAAAATAAAGAACAATTATTTTCAGTAACAATTAGTAGTGTCAAAGACAGTAAACTCTTGATACCAGAACACAATACTATATATACAAGAAATTAAGATTTTTCAGAGAATCGACCACACTCTTTTAAAAAGGTATGAATAACTTTAAAAATTTCTACATTCTGTTGATCAGAGAATGAATCAACACCCCATAACATTAGATGGACATCTATAATGTACAAATTGTTGAATGATAATAAATTATTCATTAGAGAAAGTCTTGCTGTTGCATATTTTCTACAAACAAAAAACAAATGATAGGAATCCTCTATTTATCAACATGAGCAATTCGGACTGTCAATTAAATTACAGCGAAATAGGTCAGAATTTGAAAATACAGTCATGTCTTAACCTTGTGTGAATAATATTCCAAAATCTCTTACCAAAAGAAAAATACTTGGAGGTTTTACAATATTGCTTGACAAGCATTTTTAAAAACTTTTCACAGAAGTTTTACAGAAGTTGCCTCCGTTATGTTAATTTTAATTGCATTCCACTTTCTAACAGTATCTAGTAGAAATACATTCGGTACAATACAATTATAAGCAGACCTGTTTACCTATATCATTGTCTCTCAGCATTTTTGATTAGACTGTCCGTGAGATTTGGTATTTGCCAGCAAGACTTCACATTCAATCAATATTACATATATAAATGGAGAACAACTGCTTTTCTAAATACTAAAACATGGTTTGATAACATGGTCATGATCATTTCATAACACAAGTCAAGTTGACATAACTGTGTTCGAAATCTTTTTAACGATTAAAAAGCGTGAAACTGAGATAGATCATAACGAAAACAAATTTCTCAATTCCAAACAAGTGTTTATTTCTTATATCCGTATTTTCATGATAGCAAAAGATGAGATGAATTCTGGACTAAAAATCCGTACAAAATACGGCGAAATCGTAAGAGTAAACAGGGGCCCGTTTTACAAAAAGTCGTAAATCGTAAGTCGTAAGTCTTAAATTTTCCGATCTTACGACAAATCGTAGGACCGTTTTACGAAACGCGTCGTAATCGCAAGTCATAACTCCTAAATCGTAACTTTCATCGCAAGTCGTAAAGGAACTCTCTAACGCGTAAAGGTAAAAATAACTTAGATACCGCGCCAACTACTGCGCGATGACGCACAAACAATTTTTATCCAAAATGTCTTTTAAAAAAGTAAATTGGCGACAAGAAGAGATCTCTGTCCTTGTTTATTGCGTGGTTGATCCCATTCATAAAATAAAAAGAAAATTCTTGCTATTTTTGACGACAGAGAAAAAAAGCTCCAGTCTTGGGGGAAGTTTTGGAGATATTTCATGCCTTATACTAGTATTTATTTATTTATTTTATTTGACCAAAACAAAAATCACATGTGAAAAAGTAAACAAATATATAGTCGCACATATTTTTTTCATATTAAATGCATTACGTATGAAGTTACAAATATTTTTTTCTCGTCGATTTTACATCTACATGATTGTACTGGATTACGGATTAAGAATTTTGTAAGATTGATCACTTCGCAGTTGCTTATAAATAGGAATAGATAAGAAGAACTATGTATTTTTTCCCCATAAAAATTAAAAGAAAAAAATGCACCGGCCCCTCCCATTGGATTTTAGTTTTATCATTAATAAATCCTTCTATAATAGGTACATTTCCAAATTGTAACGTTTTTGGGAGTCATTAACAAATTAAATTTGATTAATGAGAAGACATTTCGAAAATTGTTATTATTTGAATTATTTCATAAAATTAATTTTAAAAATTCTTGAATTATTTTTTTCTTGAGGGAGGGGTAGAAAAAGATATTGTACATATTTTTTTAATATATAAAATTGATTTAAATAAAATCATACCGACCTATGTATATCTATATCTATGTAAATTATATATATTCTTTTTCTCCAAGACAGTTTTTTTTTTAATTTTGCGAAAATGGATTAAAAAAAAATATTCAGGCGACATTGATGATAAAATAAAATAAAATAAAATGAAATGTTTCATAAGTTGATCGTATGTACCTTTGTACATGTACTAAAACTGAACACCAGTGGTATATATGAGAAATGTCTCTCGGCTTAACCTCGGAGTGATATATTTCACACGCACCTGTCGCTTATAAATTGTTTGATCCCTGCCTTTGCGGCATACACACAAACTTATGACGACATAATCAGGAAATGACGTACGTTTTGTGGCTCAGTGTAATGAATGAATGGACAATAAAATGCATCGATGATAATAAAGGTATGTACTTGTATTTCTGTGGGAACAGCATGACTTTTTTCTTGTTGGTCTTTCTACAGAACTCCGCATTATATCTATGATGTCGTGGGGGTATTGTCTCGGCAATCGGTACCTCGATTAACTCGGCATCGGACAAATAGTCCAATGGAAATTTCTGTCCCGAAATACCCTCTCTAACCTCTCTTTTTGTGCATTTTAACAACATCAAGTAAAAGAAAAGCACCCATTATCAATGTTTTTATTTACCATAGTAACAACGACTTATAGAACACTTTGAGGCGAAACTTAGGACTTGCGACAGCCCCCGAGTGGTCGTAGACTTACGACCGAATTTCGTCGTAACTCGCAAGTCTCAAATCTTTGTAAAACGGTCCTATGTCGTAAGTTCGGTCGTACGACCAAGTCTACGACTTACGACCTTTTGTAAAACGGGCCCCAGGTCTTATAAGTTATGTATCAATTCAAGCAAAACTCAAAGTTGCTTCATTTAATTTTCGATTTTCATGAGTATTGGAAACGTCACTTCCACTTACAATTTATTGTGCGCATTTGCCATGTTTATTTGTATTTGCTAATTTAAACAACTTCGCAAATTTTTCTGATATAAAGCAATTAGAATAATACCGCATATTTGAGTTCATCTCACAATATGCGTCGTTATCAAAGCTCTATATCCTTTAATTATATGTCATCATTCACCTCCTTTTTGTGAAAAATTGAATAAATGAGATAAGCCGGAATTTATTTATCCATCCATGCAGTGTCAGTACGTAGTTACTAGGTTTACGGGTTATCTCCCCTTTTCTATGCATCAATGAAAGTGAAAGGTGCGTGATGAAAGTATCCGATTTATTTTTCTGTATTATGAAATATTTTATCATAATTTCCAGTTTTTAAAGTTAAGTTTCAGTCAAAGAATTAACATGGATTATCTTATCAACATTGATATTGCTCGATGGCAAATATTTCATTGGATTGAAACAGATGGATTTGCCTCCCGTCCATACTTTAAACACTGGCACATGGTACAAGATATACAAGTATGGTAATAATAACCAACTTCATCGGTATATTTTGAATGAAGAA